AAGCTAATTAACAAATACTATGTACAATAAATCAGGCTAACCAAACCTTTTTTTTTTTTATTATTATTAAAGTCGCAATGTCTCCATTTGTTAGAAATCCTGGATCCACCACCGATCTCACTTGAAGGGGATTGAATTTTGTTTTTTTTTTTTCCATTCTTTGTTGTCATTTATTATATATATAGGTAGATGAAGGCAGGGGATTAAAGATTTATATTTTTTTTTAATAACAGAAGAATTATACCACTTATGTAGACTGTAAAACTGAAACTAATCATTTCACAATATGAAAATTTGAAGCAAAATTAAAATTCATTATCTACTAAAATAGGAAAGAAAACAAGGTAACAAAAAAAAAGAAATAAAAAAACAAAGTTAATCCAAAATAAGAAGTATTGGAAAAAAGCAATATAATCATCACCTGGCGAAATTCTATCCTAAGATCAAGAGTCGCAACTTTATAAGTCATACTGAACGTGAAATGCCCGTGCTCGTTATGGATACACTGTGTTTTATTAATTTGGAATAATTTACCAAAAATGGCTAACTCAGTAAAATTAATTACGAAATCGGCTTTTATACAATTTAATTCCAAAACTAATACCTAAACTATTAAGTTAGAGAAAATACTAAATATTGTATACTTTGTTTATCGTTTTAACTAATCTAGCTAGTAGTCATTTGTAAATTGAATATTTGGTTTTTTTTTTTAAACTGAAAAATTTATAAGTCATATATTAATATATGTAAACGATAGCTTAGAAAAAACCCTAATCTCAACATCGCAATATTAAAATCTACACTTTTCTCTAGATCATTTAACCAAAAATAGGAAATTCAAGTAATATTGCTATATTCCACAAAACCTTAAATTTATACGACAATTAGGGGGTCCCAATTCTTAAACACGTGACATTATTGTTTAATCTCCGTGTTCCACCCTGATCCTACATATAAAAGCATTGTTCTCAATATTTAAATAGTGTTAAACCTTAATAGTTATCTTAATTATTAGCTTATCCCTTCATTCCACATTTGCCATACTTTATTTTCAATAAGCCTAATGTGGATAAATACTTATTGATAAATTATTTATCAACATAGATACTTTAAACCCATAACTTTTATTTTATTGATATTAAGGCAACCTTACAAACTCAAACTTACATGCGAAATTCATAACAACACTCACACAATTTCACAATGACTAAATTAATTAGACCCAATAGTCGATAAGTCAGACTTAATCGACAATAATCCTTACAATTCTAGAATTGATCAACAAGAACAAAAAGATACCAACAACAAAGAAAGCATACGTAATACCACTTATCATATTTTTAATTTTATACCATTAATAACTAAATGTCCAAAATCATACTGAATAAATCATGATGGGTTTAACAAAACTAGGGAGGCATGGTGTAATCCCAAACTAATACTCACTTCCAAGCGTTTGGAATGACGAAAACTTCATCTTCATTTTTTATTCCTACATTAGAAAGGGTATTCACGGTTGTTATATTAATGTCCTCGCGACTAAGAATTAGTCTCTTCGACTCATAATTATTATACTTTGCCCATAAATCATATAAGCCTTGAATAGGGGCATTCAGATCACCAGCAACTTTTAAATGCAAGGGATGAGTCCTATGACTCCTTATGTAAAAGTACTTCACCCTTGAGTTAAGGTTGTACTCCAGAGTCTACAAAAAGGATTAGAATATTTTAGTACATTAAACATACTAGCATATGTATTAAGTTAAATAAGATATTTTCATGAAAAAAGCATTAAAATAAGAGTTAACATTTTAATTACCTCACTTATTACCACGAGCTCTTCTCCACAAGTTAATCCAAGACCAATAGGGGTGTCGCTGATGTCAATGTAAGAACCGTGTTTAAAGATCATTATTTCATCAACGTAACGATCAACTTTGGCAGCGTAGTCGTAATAGACTCTATAAAAGGTCTCATTTTCCCTTATGTAGTATAACAATCCGTGGTCTATTTCGCAAGTGCTTTTCACCTTTATTGCAAACAATGGCATCAGATTGACATTACCTTCATCATGATTGGAAGGTGCATCAGGTGCAGGCACAATTAGAGGTGGTAAGACTCTAGGGGCTGGGACAAAGGGATTTACTTCAACAATTGCAAAGTCGGCAGGACCAAGTGTGACATTTTGAGGCACTGGTAGGACTTGTGGAGCTAAGTTTTGCTCATCAACGACATTGATACAGGGAGGTAAATTATTTTTTAAAGGTGGAGGAACATTGTTTTTGGTGGGTGAGTCAAAATTAATGGACTTAGCACGACACCTTCTCATACGTGCTAAACTTTTTTCAAGTAGAATACCAGTCTTAGTGGTACTTCTTATACGATCAATATAACAATGACTCGACCATAATGTTTTATGTTGTCTATCCGGAGGGGAAGACGACGACTAGAAGCAATAGGGCTACATATTGAAGGTAGGGATGATGATGAGGATAATAGCAAAGGGGAATTTTGGGACATTCTTAAATTTATGGATATAAAGCTATGGTTTAGGGTGTTCACTATAGAGTTGTGTTGGACTATATATAGAACAATGGTGATAATCTCCATAAAGTCCTTCATATGATTAAAGAACAAATAACTTACATAGTGAGGCTATATTTGGGAATTACAAATTAATTTATCTACTACTTGTATAAAAAGAGAATATATACCATATAAGATAAAATTCCGATGAATTAGAACAATATCCCATGCGATTAAAATATTTTAATTTGAGTGTATAAATTACAAACACACATTCAAAAGAGTGTATCATTGTTTCTTACAATTAAACTTTAAAGCACTAATTAAGACGTTAATAGTAAGCATTACTTTTTTTTAAGGAAAATTCACTTACAAGCTTGTGTTTGTATCCCTTCCTATTATAAATTCATTATTTTATTTGAAAAATGAAAAAGTATTCCATTAGTTATCATATTTGTAAATTATTTTTACCTGCCTATTATTTATTTACTTCAATAGTCTTTGCACTCCATTAGGTGATTATTATATCATTTGATTTGATGCTGTTATCGATATACATTCTCTATTAACTCGTTCATATCTTTAACACATGCTAATAAAATGAGAAGAGGGATGTAGCTCAAATGTGATATATATCTTTAACACAATAAAGTCAATTTGATATACTAATAGTACTATTACATTGCTTTACGGCTAATTCACCAAACGCCACTGAGCAATTACATAATTCACCAAATGCCAGCGTTTTTTTCAAAATTTAACTCATACACTGTCAAACAACACAATGACACCTCGTGCCACTAAACATGGACATTAGTTTTCCGTTACCGCAATTCTTATTTTGTCGAAAGCCATTACTTTGAAATGTTTTTTCATCAAATACCATTACTTTTTAAAATTAATACACAATAATTATTTATTCTAATGAATAACAATAATACTTTTTTTCGATTTTCGTGACGAAGACCGTTAGGGTTTGGTTTTGGGGGTGATCCTTTATGGGTACAAAATATGTTATTTTTTTTCGTGAGTTCCGAGCTTAATTTGATTTCATAAAGTATAAAAATGACCCCTAAAACTTGACCCTGATCAATTTTGATGGTTAAATGAACGACTCGATAATCGAAATATTTTTCAGCAAATAAAAAGGAGATTTTACGTTATTTTTTTGTCAATTCCGAACTTAATTTGTGCCCATAAAGGATCAAAATGAACCACAAAACTATACACAAGTAATTTTGTCCCGAAAATAAAGGGAAAAAATACTATATAGTTATTAATTACAATAAATAATTCAAATGAACCAATCATATAATAACACGTGTTAAGATTTAATTTTAATGAGTAAATTAGTTAACGGCCGTTAGTCATTAATGTCAATTGGTGAATTTTTAAAAAGCTCGAGGACATTTGAATGAAATTTTGAAAACCTATGATGACATTTGGTGAATTTATTAAGTACTCAATTGCATTTGGTCCAAAAGCCGTTTTTTAAGATAAGTTCAGTTACGATAACTCCACCTTTATTTAGTAACAATTTAAATTAAATTAAATATTTAATACTCATTGACTTAAAAGAGCATATCCAATAACATATTATTGAAAAATATTATTCAACAGTAAAAATTTAATAAATATCCTTTCACTTCTAATGAAGATTATTATATCTAAAAGTAGTGAAAACCATAACGAACAAAATAGAGTATGTGTTTGAAAACTTAACTGTCATTAACAAAACTCTATTATGTCTTTATGTAACTCCCTCCGTTAAATGTTTTTGCAACTTTAGAATATTATATATCCAACAATTAATACTCCAAAGTTGCACTTGATAGTTAAAAGAGGTAGTGCTATATATATTGTATTGATAGTCAAAAAACATTTTCAAGTTATTAGTCATTCTATTAATTTTATATAGAGTAGATTTTAACATTTAGAGTTGGTACGCACGCGGTGATCTAACAAGTACTAATAAAAACCCCTAGTAGATTGAATTTTTTTTTTATAACATAATGAAATTGGAAAACTAAGAAACAACATAAAACTAAACTTTAATTAAACTATCTTGGCATAATACTATAAAAAATTATTATTTTACAAAGATTGTTGGAACTTATTGGTTTTGAAAGGAATTTTTTGCAAGGAATTTGTTGTAACTAGGGACTCAAATAATTAACATAAAATCTCATTAGTATCCAATAATGGTATTAAAGCTCATCAGTGGATAAAGATTATAAAGATAAACACTCATTACTGTCCAAAAAATGTTAGGATTTCATAATCATAGAGTAACATCATATTGTAATGGTTTTCTAGCACGATTATCATTATATGAGTATGTTGTCTATATTGGTCAACCACTATAATTGACCCAATCTCACAGCATTTACTACTCCACCAACCACACTTTTCATCATTTGAGGTAAATATTGATTCGCCGATGTCTTCATTTCAAAACACTCAATATGTAAAGACATCCATCCACAACACTTCTCTCCACTCCTCCAATTGATTTACCTGTTTTATATTTCGTGTAAACTAGGGCTTTACAACATTTGGGCGAAAGCATTCGTACATCTTTACAAGGTACTTTCAAACCCCTATGTATTCTAGTTAATTTATTGATCATAGTCCAATTTTCCTCTATTTTATTTTTATAATTGATAATCAATAGAAATGCTACAATATGGAAACTTTATGTATTTGGTTTAAATTCTCGTATATTTTTTAAAAAAATTACTTTTAATTGAATTTGTTGTGTTTATAATATTCATTTCCTTTATTTGTGTAAAATGCATGCATTGACTTGTAATAATCCATCCAAACTTAAATTTCTATAATTACATATCAATTTTGTGTATTGAATTATGTTCTTTTATCTGCTGAGCTTATTTGATATTAGTTTGCATTATATTCGAGACATTAATACGAATTTCCTATTACATTTAATAATATGTTTGTCAAACCTGTAGCTGAATATGGTAACAATTAGTATTTTTTTTAAGGTGTTTCCATGTATTACACAGTACAATAGGTTGACGATTATGTTTATCATTAGACTTGATGTATATTCATGTTAGGTTAATTTCACCCAATTTGATCAATTTGAATAATATATGTAGACATTTAAACTAACGAGCTCTTGGTTTTACTACAACTTGATTAGATTGGTGTTTTAATCAGATTAATAGTTACTCTCTGTCAATGGACTACTCAAGACCCCCTTGGTTTCAATTTATGGTAGCGCCAGCAACTAGGCATCGTCTGGTATGCTCCTCACATTATTTTTATCTTGATCTTTGGCTGAAATTATTTCTACAACTTCTTAATTAACTATTAGTCCTCCTATTGTAGTTTGTTCCTGAGCGAGTTCGGGAACTTCTCAATTCACCTTCAGGAAAGTTTTATGTTATTTTGGGTAGCCGAGGTGAACCTTATCCTCTCGTCATTAGATTGAGAGAAAGTAGCCACCAGTGGAGATGTTTTATTGAGGATGGTTGGACCAACTTCCTCAATAGTAACGAGATCAAGAACGGAGATGTCGTGGAGATGTTCTACTGTGGAAGGCACTATTTCCGTGCTCTCGTGTATCGTAAAGGTAGGGAATTCAAAGGAGAAAATGAAGTTGAAGAAAAGGATTCTTCCTCTGATGATGAATTAACCCAGATCGAGAAGGATCCACCAATATTCAATGCTACATTCACGGTTCCATACATAAGGGCAGAAAGATTAGTAAGTAAACTTTGTTGATTTTAAGCTAATGATAATACTTCATTATTCAAAATTTATATTCATTGTTTATATTTTACAGTATGTTCCAGTGAACTTCGCAAGGGAGTTTGTAAATGGCTTCCCGGAGTACTCACACGTGCAGTTGGTTGTAAAGTACAAAGTCTGGGATGCATTACTAAAAATCACTTACGATCATACTCATAATATCAAAAAATGCATAGTGAAAAGCGTTGTGAAGCAAATGATTTTCTGGGAAAACATTCAACCAGGGCAAAAGATGATTGCCACTTGTAGCTTCATGTTCCTGTCGTAGTTGTTGATGTTTGAGTGTTTTTTCTTTCATCCTTATTGAGCAAACTGTTGTAGGCATGACTCTGAAGTTGTCTGTTTAGTTTCAATTTTTAATTGATAATGAACTTGGTTTTTTAGTTAAGTCACCGTTAAAATATGCTACCAATAGTTATGGTTGCGTACTCAAGTCATCAATGACGATGAATTATTTGTACCACGGAATTTTGTTTTAAATTATGATGTATATAACGCGTACTAACTTATGCGAAGTGTATCAACGATGATCAATTTAAAATGCATTTTTAGCTTGTAGCTTTCCAATACATTACCATGTACCATGTATTATAAACTTTAAATCATCGAAAATCAATGGCTAGATTGGCTACCATTAAAATTGTATGTGAATATCATGTATATGGACTTCTAATTTAAGTTGATTTGGGACTTAGCCAAAGTCACTAAAAATAAGTCTATATAGGTTGATATCATAAATAAATGACCATCAAGTACTCATGCTTATATAATTACAGTAATTCTAAAATATTAATTGAAATTTAAACAAAAGTCTTTAACTTCCCTTGTTATTATTAAATCGACCCAAAGTTTCATAATTTAATTTTGTTAGAAATTTTACTAATACACAATTAAAGATATTTGTGGTCATAGTAGCATATCGTCAAATGTGACGATCAAAATGATGCCTAACAAAAAAAAAGAGGGAGTAACCATTATTTATGTAATCTTATCATCATCATACATATACTTCTCAAATGAATAAAGTAAAGAGAATGAAGAGATGTTATAATAAATTGGGCTATATTTAATAAGCTATACAATTTGTCAAAGATAAAATCGATAAAAATTCGTAAAAAATCAGCCCGGCAAAGCTCGACTCGATATGTTAACAACCCTTATACTTTTTTTGGATAGGAAGAAATGGAAGGAAAATAAGAGAAGAGAATTAGAGGGGGACAAAATCTCTTGTTTAGGTAAAAGATTGGGGGAAGGAAAGATAAGGAGAGGGAGGGGTCCATTTTCCTTTTCCCTATAATAACCATAATCTCTCCAGAGATTTGGAGGGAAAATGGAGCTCACCTCCCTTTCTTTTCCCTTCCCTTCCTCCATTTTCCCTCCCCTTCTTTTCCTTTCTTCTTTGCTATCCAAACAAAGCTTTAGTCTAACTCAACTACAATCATAAGCACCCAATTGCAAACAAGTATTTAATTCATACTGGAAAAACTAATCCAGAGAGCAGATTATTAAACATACATGGACACCTGTACACTATATTTTAACAAATTAATGTACCTTATTTTTCAAAAAACATTTTTACTCTTATTTCGTATACATTGGACCCTTATGTTCTAAATTCACTGTGTTTAATAAGATAATAAAGTGTATATGTAGGGGCCAATTGACTAAATCTGTTAACAAAAAAGGCCTTTAGCGTCAATACTTTGGTAAAAAAAACTTAATCCGACGACATTTTGTTAAAAAAAGCTAACAATATGCGACAATTTGTTAAAAATAATAAACTCCGGCGACATTTAGCCAAAAATTTTGTTTTTTAACGACAAGTTTGAAAATCCTGTATTATATTTTGTTCTTAAATTTATTTTTCCTATTTAATATTTTGAATTTACATGTCACCCCTTTTTATTTCAACACTATTTAAAATAAAATTCGTTTATAAGGTATGAAATTTAATTGAAAATTGGTACTTAACTTTTTTTCCCCTTCAAATTGTTATTTCCGTAAAAAGGGTTGGTAAAATAACAACAAGTAAAACGAACTTAATTAACCATTTGCTAGTAAGTTATCGGAATTTTTTGTATTTTTTTAGGTTAATTGTCGCCCAAGATTATTTTATTTACCAATATATCACGTAATGTTTTTTTTTTTACCAAAAAATCTCCGGGATAAGTTTTTATACCAAATTGTCGCTAAGGGTAGGGTCTTTTTTATTTACCAATCTAGTCAATTACCCTATATGTAATTCACATAGAGAGCAAAAGTTAAAATTATAATATGTAATGGAATATTGAATATGTAGAATTGTTAAGTTAGGTGTGGTCCCTACCATTTTTACTAGTAAACCTACAGTGAGAATGCAGTTCATTAACACTACTGAATCAAGAGCAAACCATAAGTTTTCTTTTCCAAGGCTATGTAAAATATAAAACCAATGGCGGACATTTCGTCAAATATCGCTGCTTTGGGTAAGGTAACTTATTATATTCTAGGGCAACAAAAGGGAAAGCTGGTGAACCAAAAACAAGAGGAGTAAATGGGTAATTATTTCCCTAGCAGTGAAGATAGCTGCATGGCAATTAATTAGGACGTGGCAATAATTTGGTGAAAACGAACAACACATCATTTTCAAATGTAAATAATACAAGCATGAATAATTATGAATTCCAAAAACATATTATTCAAAGATAATTGATCTAATAAATATTATCATCATCTATCCCAAATAATCAGAGGCCTATGTACTTATGTAGTCAAATTAGATTGTATCAGTTGTTGAATATCAAACTTCTATGCTACTATGATGAATAATTTGGATTATAAATTTATAATAGAAGGAAAAGCTTTTTATAGAGGACAGTTGTGTTGAGGGTGCTAATTAAGTAGGGCAACTCACGATCATCTTGAATTCAACTCAATAGTGCGGTTAAAAGTCGATCTGAGTTAGCTCGTGATCGCTCCAATCATCACAAAACTAGATAAGTGAACAAGGAAATTATTCAATATTTCTTTATTATTTAATCTTTAAAAACATAAAGTAACCTTGAAAATTAATAAATTTTAAATAATAATCTTAAGTAGAATAATTTTATATAACCAGAAGAAAAAATCATTAACAAATTATGAATTTCAAGAGACGTAAACCTTTAAACGAGAAACTCTTCACGACTCGGCTTGACTCGAAAATTAAAGAGCACGAGTCGAGCTTCCATCTGCCCGTGATCGACTAGCTCGATTAGCACCCTTATACTGTTGTAATATAATTACATGAAGGTTATATATAATTATCATTTGTAGTGATAGACTGATAGTCATAGGTAAAAAAGGTATTTAAGTACAACATATTTTCTATAATTCAACTAATAAAAGTATGTTGTATGAAATTTCATTACAAACAAGTAATGCCTCCGTTTTTAAATAATTGCTCAATTAATAATTTCACTTATTGATGCATAATTGGAACGTCAATTAATTAACACCGCAAATTTAGTGACTTAATTAATAGTTTTACTAATTAGTGGTGCTTAAGTACGACACTATCTGGATATTCAACCGGATGTACATCTTTGGCTATGAAGGCCATTTTCCCACCTGCATTAGGAAGTGGAAAGACATTGAATGTCTTACCCCTTATAGTATTAAATTTCCATGTAAACAACAGAGAAGTTATTGTGTGGTGTCCATTCACAAAATGACAGCTAATCTGAGGCCTTTTCCCTAGAAATTTTTTGTTGTCTGCAGGATTAAGTCAGTAAGATATTGTGAGTAAAGGAGCTACTCATCTAGAATGGTCAACATAGTTGAACGCTATAGTAGTATGTATGCCATAAAGAAGGTATTCATCAAACTCTAATAATTCTACGGTAGTTGAGGTCGATATTTTGGATTACTCCATTGGAAACGTATACCTATCAAAAGGAATTATTAGTGTTATTAATCAATGTGGTATAACATAACTTATTCTCTTAACACAATTATTTTATCATGAACTTCTTAACACAAATTATTTAAAACAATAACCTGTAGTGAAGCTGTAGATTAGAGCTGGATGAAGACATGCCCATTCATAATATTGTATTCTTATAATGCTTGACTTGTATAAATTATAATTTATTATTAAAGTTAAATAACATACCACGTGTAAAAAGAAATTACCATATGTATTTGCATGATAAAACTGTCCTAAGACAATACATTCCAAAGTTATATTGCAATAGTCTTTTACCATGTGGTTGATCAAACAATAAATTAGTTTTTTGAGAATGACTAATTCTGGTTAAGTAGGTTTTTATGGAGGTATTAGATATGAGTGAGAAAGGATGACTGCAAAGGGGTCAGTAAACATCTCTTAATCACGTTATAAATCAGAACAAACACGTGTCTTACCACTGTTGTTATATGGTATAATTAAGGTTCGTAATACATTTAAGTAATATATTAACGATTGTAATATGATGCTATATAAAAATAAGAAAGTTTTTATTAAATTACCTAAAATATTATTCATAAGTTACGATAATGAAATATAGTGATATGTTAAACAACTAAGCATTCCTTTTTAGGGGTGTTTGGAAACCACGTTAATTTTGCCATATTTTGATAACTTAGCCATCAAAACATAAGGAAAGACCTCACAAGGGCAATGGTTCTCCCATATTTGTTCTACACCAAACAGAATTTGTCGGGCTAAGTTATGGGCAATAGTATTCCCATCCCGTCTAACATGACACCAAATAACAAAATTAAAACTAAGACAAGTACAAATAATATCATCTTAAAAAACTATCTAAATCTATTAAGTAGATAGTCCCCTTCCACATGCGCTTAATGAAATAATAAGCATACCTAAATGCGGGTAAAAGGAACCAACATTTACTAACCCGAGCCTACGGAATAGTAAAGCATATTTTAATATAGATCTTGGAAAAGTGTATAGAGGACGCTATCATTAGGGATTCACTACTCCCTTTGTAACACACTAACACAAATTTAAAAAAACTATTTAAACAAGTTCATCTACATAATAAGAAACGGAAAAAAAGCAATGAGTTCATACTCACCCTCTTCAGCCAACTATGCCATGAATGTTAACTGCTCTCATGGCGTCCAGGCCAGAATATCTACGGTTCAAAGAGGGCCAAATGCCGGTAAACGCTTTTATAGTTGCCCGTATTGGAAGGTAAAAACAATATATTGTCCTATTGCTATCACCGTAATCTTTGTAATCTTTTCACGTTATTGTTTACAATGCAAGATCGAACTAAAGACTGTAGATTTTTAAAATGGGAAGAGGAGTATCCGGCCAACCTTATCCAGGCAAAACAGATAATTTGCTCCCTTCACACTGATCTCGACAGAATGTCAAAGGAAAATGCTGAACTAAAGATAGAGATCGGACGATTATCAACCTTAATTGAGAAGTGTTACTGACAACATCTCCACTTCTTTGCTTGGGTCAATATGATTCTATTTCGGTTAATTGCTTTTGTAATTGTTTATTTTTAATATCCAAATGTAAAGAGTTAAAGGAAAGTAATAAATTTGTTTTCTATTTTCTTGTTAAAATAAATAGTTGTAACACTAGTAAGCTGAATGTCCTTTTATGTACCTTAATTAATTAAAATCCTTAGTATCCGTACTTGAGAAGTTGGAATAACAACCCCATGGTGGGTCAAAATGATTCATTTTTGTTTAATTGGTGTTGTTAGTAATTGTAAATGTAATATTTTTGGGGCCGAATGTATTGAATTTAATTTAAACATGAATTTAGATAATGGAATGTACTTGTGAATACTTAATTTTTCAAATCAGTAGCAACTTATAATCTTTCTTTTTTAAATAAAAAAAATGATTTTTAGTGTTGATAAACGTAGGTACTTTGGTAGTAGCAGTGACATAATGTTTAATAAGAGGGCCAATTTCATTAAAGAAAATAGTACATTAATTGAAAACAAGTTATTTTAAAAAAAAAATACAGAATGGACAACTAATGAACGAAAGGGATACATATAAAATAGTAGACAATAATGCTTAAAAAAGGATATTACAACATTCCTAAATGAAAGTAGAAATAGATAGTAGTCCCAATACTGGTGAGACAAAGTACTTGTTCACACTGACTAATAAGGCACATCACGAAAAACCAAGGTATGCCTAGAGCTTCAAATCAAGGAACGCCTACAGCTAGGATGGCCTTGTGTTGTTGAGTAACATATTGTAACAATGGATTAGGAATTAATAAATTGATAACAACTTGAACAATCTATAATCCGCGAAGGTAAAATAAAAGCAAAATTAATTGTAATTAATATTCGTCCATACCTTGAAGTAGAGATCCATCTTGACAAAGTCAGACCTCGTGCGCCTCTTCTCAACACAAATAGTTTCGTCTTTCCACAGCACCACAACACCCCCACATAGACCCTCTGGCCTATACCAAATAAATTGATAGTTACCAGGTAACGCACGAACAAGATAACTAACATTTAGGATACTTTGTCTAGCCTCAAGTAATACAACAATACCTGGCCTGTGACAGTCAAACAATTGCCGAAAGTGTTCAGCAAATGATGGCCTAGCAAGCCCATGAACGTTACAGCAACAGATTTTTGTGTCACTAGAGATGGGGATACATGGAGCGTTAACAAAGAGTAGCAGCCCTATTACCTTGGTAGGGTGTGAAGTCAACCTTGTGATAGCCAACAACATATTCATTGTGTCTATCAAAGGCAACCCAAATATGCATGATATGTGAGAAAGAAGGAACTTTCAGCACTTGAAATGCATCGGTGTATGTACCAATGCAAAATCGAACAGGAATTTGTTCTACTTCCATCACAGGACCTTCCATACTTATAACTGGTCGTGGGTCTAGCGCATGAAGTGCTGGGACAACATTGTGCGGATTGCCTTGTGCCCCAAGACACCACCTTAAGAAGATATGAAATTCATCGCGGATGGGGTAGATGTCGTGGTAATTGGGTAAGTGAGCGGGTCGTGCAACGCCCTCATCACCTAGAGGACGCATCAACAAGTTAGTGAGGCCTATGTTGGCAGGGTTAGCAGGGTTGATGATTAGAAAAGCTATTGTTTCCGGGCTAATGACATTGAATATGTTTGGGTCTGAGGTGTCTTGAAGAAGGTATTGAAAAGTTGTGAAGTCCATCTCAGACACAAGTCTTGAGGGCGGACTGAAGAAGAGGAATGCAAGTGTTCCAGCATCCCGATTCCGTGTTCGCCTAGGCATGGTAAGTTTGCAAGGGGATAGGTTGCAAGGGAAAAATAACTAGGAAGTCTTAGAGGATATATGTTGGTAATAAAATGGTTGTATGGAGTAACAAGGCCGGGGAGGTGTCCTATTTATAGTAGTAGGTCCACGACTACACGAGTCATAGTTCTAAAGTACAGTGCAAAACTTAGATTATGATCTTGTGTCAAATTTTCCAAATTAATAAGTAACATTCGGTAGCATAAAATAAGGCTATAATTCCATGAATTATTAAAACATATTGAAATATGTATATTGTTATTAATTTTAAATTAATTAAGTTTATTACATTTATTATTTTAAATATTTATATTATAGAAAATAAATTTATCAACTTTTCAAAACTAGACGGATTTAAGCTTTATCATTTAGGCATTAACAAAGCATGATTGGAGTTATCATTTTATAAGAAAGAATGTGGGAGAAGAGATCGAGATATGAGAAAAAAAAAAACAAATTAGTAGTGTGATTAGAGGAAGAATATGAGGAAAAAAAAATAAACAAAGTAGTAGTGTGGTATTTTCTCTATTTTTTATTTTGATATATACATTAATTTAACCGACACATTTGCCGAGACGCTACTTTGACCATAAATATCTTTAACTTTATATTAGTAAAAATTGTAACAAAAATTATTATGACAATAGACATTAAGAAGAATCTAATGATATATAATATAATACTCCCTCGGTTTCACTTTGTTAGCCCCATATAGAACCAATCACACAAAATAATATAATACTCCCTCGGTTTCACTTTGTTAGTCCCATATAGAATCAATCACACAAAATAAGAGAATGAATAATATTTGGAATCTTATTACAAAAATTGCTTAATTAGTTCTATCGTATTAAATGTTCTAATTTTTTTCTTTGGAAAGTATCAATTATAATGCTTGTTTAAGGTGAGGAATATCAATCAAATGCCATGTCATCAATCCACTAATGGGATTGATGACCAATAAAAATATTTAATACTGCCATGTCATCAATCCACTAATGGGATTAGAAATTATAAGATCGGATTATGAAAATAAAATAAAATAAAAATAAGAAAGATATAAGACTAGGTAAACGAATAGATATATTTTTTAAAAAGGGGTTTTCTAAGCTTTACCCCTAAGGTAGTTGAGTTTCTAAGGTGTACCCATGCTTTTTCAAGTTTCTAAGCCGTGCCCTTCAACTTCTTATCTATACTAAAATGTACCCTTATTAGTTATTTAAAAGTTAATTGAAAGTGTGATTTCGTGGCTTTAGTTTTCGTTATTAGGATTGTCGTTGTACAAGATTAATTTCTTTTATCATTTCCTTACTTGTTATCATCTTTTTATTAAATTTATAGTTAACTTTAGGTGACGTGGAAGTCCCAAGGAGGGTACCATTCATTAATGGTAGTGAGTTGAGGGGCTCAACTTAGAAATTTGAAAAAACATGGGTACACCTTATGAACTCGACTACCTTAGGGGCATAGCTTAGAAAAACCCTTAAAAAATTTAACGCGAACAAGAAGTAAGATATAAGCTGCTACGGTTTAAATTTTGTAGTTGAATTCATTTTTTTACCTAGTTTAATCTTCACATCGATAAACGTGATAAATGGTGTGTTGCAAGTATGTATAAAAAATACCTTTCGACTAAGAGCCTCTATTCACTGCTTAAACCTTAAGGAATCTATATTGGATATAGATTCCACAATACACAACTATGAGATTCTATATCATTGCATGAAAGCTTAGTGAATCCTACAACCCCTATATTATAAGCACTATTTGTATATACTAAAACGACTTTAGTAAACAATAATATACAAAACACACGTTATTGGTTTTACTCTTCTTAATTTAATTTAAGTTTATATTTTTTAAATTCTAATTTAGTCATATATAATAATGTCACATTTATATTAAAGTACGGAGAACGATGTAAATGTAGTTATTTATGTAATACCTTTCAAAATTGAGCCTCTATTCCATGATTAAACCTTAAGGTATGTGTATTTGTTATGGTATATAGATTCCACATTAAGTTAACTTTAAGATTCTATATCAATGCATGAAAGCTTAGTAAATCCAAGGATCCCTATATTGTTAGCGCTATATGTATACAATCAATCAACTTTAGTGAACAATAATAGACCAAAACACGCGATGTTGGTTTTGCTCTTCTATAACTTTATTTTAGTTTATATTTATTTTTCTAATTTAGTCAATATAATGTCACATATATATTAAAGTAATTTAGTCTATGTTTTAAGGTTAGTGTTATAGATTCCACGTTAAATCTTAGTTACTCCAACGACCCCTATATTAGCGCTATTTGTATGTATCTACTCGATCAAGGCTGTTAGGGTACTATTGACTGACATTAATATTTTAATGTATGAGTTTAAATTATTTGCAATTATAACAATGGGCATATAATGGTCTTATAAGAAAGAAAGAATAGAAGCCTTAAAACAATGGGCATATAATGGTCTTATAAGAAAGAAAACTAAAAGGCCTTAAAATAATGGGCATACAATGGGCTTATAAGAAAGAAAGAAAGGTTACACACATTAAATTAATGGGCTTCAAGGCCTTTTTACGTACATTTACAAAGGCCGGACAACTAGGCCTTTCGCCAAACTGACCGAGAGCAACGTCGCTTTACAGACGGAGAGCAACGACCGTAACTCTATCATGCCATCTCATCAAACGTATCTGATTGAGCTGTAATACGAAGTCAACAGCGAGTTGCCAACATGTAAACATTTGCAGGCTAGATTGACGATCTTGTCCCCGTTTTTAATGACTGAATTCCCAGAAACACCCTTAGATTGATAAAATTTGTTAATCAAAGAGATAAACTGGAAATTGGCGGTTATAAAGCAGAACATGCTAAAAAAGAATAACAGGGTTCTCACTCCTAATTGCGGCTTTCATTAGTCCTTTAGCATTGTAAGGGGTGGAGCATGCAACCAATTGGATACCGGGAATTGATTGGAAGTAAGACTCAATCCGTTGTGAATGTTTAGCCCTGAGCTGCCGTCCAACACCACCAGGGCCACGAATGATCACAGGAATGGTAAATTGGCCACCGGAAGTGTAATGCAGCATGCCACAGTTGTTCGAGATTTGGTTGAATACCAATAATAGGAATCCCATATTCATTCCCTCAATAACAAGCCTTAAGCCAGTCATAGCAGCTCCAATGCCCATTCCCGTGAAGGAATTTTCAGCGCTTGGGTGTCAAGAACCCTAAGAACTCCATATTTTGGGGCCAGTCCTTTAGTAACCTTGTAAGATCCACCATAGTGTCCCACATCTTCACCCATGACACATACGCGAGCATCCCTTTCCATTTCCTCATCAAAACCTTCACGAAGTGCTTCGAAGAGCAAGACCTCATGCCTGGCAATCCAAGAAAATTTACACTTAGCAAAAACCAGTTGCAAAATATTTGTCAATGTGAAATCATCTGAAACATAGAATACATAATATGAACGGTAATGAATGAAAAGTACATGTTGCACAATGGTTTGCATCCACATTTAGCAAAAAGAATTACCAAACAAGTAAACTCCAAAATTATTGACATATATTTGCAAAACAACATGAAAGCATATGCAGGAATTTCCACCCACTAATTCTAGTATATAAACAGTCAAACGCAGTATATAATACTTATAATACAATATAATTTTTGTCTTTCATTCCTAAAATATCATATTAAAAAGCCACACTCCTTCCCCTTAATAGATACTCCATACATAGGTAAAAATGCCAAAGCTTTGGGTTTGTGATAATCACTTGTCAGTTTATAGTGCTAGAATAGGAGGTGTAATCCTTCACACTTATAGTAATATAGCTACAAGGTTAACATATTGAAAAGTTGGTGAAAAAGTTCTTCTTTAAGGCACCAGCCTTCACCTCCACATGAAGAAAAAATTAAGAAAATTCTCGATTGTAGAATTGTACTTTTAAATTTTTTCATTAATAGCCAATTAAAATTTTCAACTATCAATGGTAACCTTGAACTATAGAATTTCTAAAATGTGACCTTAATGATGATCTTTGGCTAAAATTATACTACCTCCGTTTTTTTTGTTAACATGTATTCCTTTTTAGGAAGTTTTTTTTCGTTGACACATTTCCTTTTGTGGTAAGTTTTTTACCTTATATTTTCAAGGTACCTCACTTACTTTATAATTCTATGTCACTCTCTCGCCTTTTCTTAATATATGTGCCTAAATAAAATGCGTCAACTAAATAGAAACGGAGGAAGTATTAATTCTTATTTATTCAACCATGGTTAAGTTATCAAGCTTTTCTCCTCTCTACTCTCTTTCTCCAAAATTTAATCCCCAAACTTCACCATAACTAAATTCAAACCAACTTACTCCCACCATCGCTGCCACCTCCAGCACTTCGCAACAATAGCTAACAAAATCCACGCGACCACGCCTTACTCCTGGAGCTGTCAAAAGCTAATTTGACCTAAAAAAATTTACACGTACTCAATTATGAACAAACCTGCTTAAACCCGGAAAAATGGTGACTGAACCCAAAATGACCTGACCTGAAACCAACCCCAGACCCGAACATGAACTGACCTGAATATAACCCGTAATTTATTGACCTGGATTGAACTCTAAACCGAGATTAACTCACACCTATTTTAGCTCGTGAAAACCCAAATTTAAAATGACTAGTTACTAACCCGACTAGTTACTAATCCGACTTAAATTTAACCTGATTTGTTACTAAACCGACCCGAAATTAACTTAACTTGTAATTGACCCGACCTAAATTCAACCCGACTTGTTCTTTACCCATTTCGATCCTAACCTGTTATTGACTTGACTTGATTTCAAATCACTTTAAATTCTATTTAGACCACCTTATTAACATATAGTTATAGTTATATAGTAACATAATCCTTTCTAAATTAATTCTACAAAGAATATGATGTTCGCCGCGTAAATAAAATTATAAGATTATATTATATGAAATTAATGACATCTTGTATGTGTCACTTGTGTAGTTGTGTGCTTGTGCAAACAAGTTACTATGAGAAGTTCAATAGTCAATAGTTCAATACATACTACTCCGTACCATGGAAAAAAAACTCGGTCGTGTTTGCGGTAACGGTGTGTTGTGGCGGAAACGGCTTGTAATGGTAAATAGAACGGATCGCAGATTTCGCGGTGTATTTTTTTTTTAAAATTTACATAAGTAGAATTTTAGCTTGTTTACTAGTTGCCTTATTATTTATACCATATTATGATAAAGCTATGACAATTACACTTATAAATTTTTTTTTGAACAGTTATTAATTTGGTTTTTGATTTCTTACTGATTTGATTTTTTTTTTTTTTTTTTTTTTTTTTTTAAATAAAAGGGGGTAAAGAGGACTACTTAATAAGTAAGTCAGTAACTTACCACAAAGGAAGGATATCTTATAATATTTTGCGGCATGTTGTTAGGATATTTATGTAGTAAATATATTGTAAATTAGTTTGTTTTCCTGAATTATAGATTAACTATTATTTTTAGGATTTTTTTGTAAAAAACTACCTTTTATAATTCAATTTTTGCGAGAAACTACCACGAAAACGAAATGTAGTGTTGTTCTTCTTCTTCAACTTCAGTTTCATGTACTCTGCTTCATCCATTATCCTCTTCTTCTCACCTACAAGGCAGCATACTCTGTTCCTCTATACAACAACCTCACCCTTAAGAATATGATTTTCTGAAATGAGTTGATTAGTAATATCCCGTTGCCAGTCAATTATTCCTTCATCCATCCAACGAAAGTATTTGCAACCCCTTTGATTAGTTTCGGGATTATAAAACGTACAAGCTTCAAACTTCTTATAGGATTATCACGCGTCCACGATATCACCCTCACAATGAATTCTGATTTAATTACCCAATTTGAAGAGGAAATTATGAAGAACAATGGAGCTTCGAATTGAAAATAGGGATTTAGGGATGAAATGAGGTGTTTTCGAAGGAACATGAGGGAGAATTTGGGGAAAAAAGGGGGAAAGTTTGTCATTAAGGGTCATGTGAGCCGCACGTGACTAGGTCAACGCCGGAAAAATATAGTCAAACTTGACTTTCCGATGGGTGGTAGTCAATTACAACAATTTGTGTTTTATAAGGTAGTTAATTACAACATTTCGTTTTCGTGGTAGTTTTTTGAAAAAAATGGATTATAAAAGGTAGTTTTTTTTACAAAAAATCCTTATTTTTATTCATTGCTTCAACCGTGTATATATATATATATATATATATATATATATAGAGTGTGGATCATGTGAAAACAAGTGTAAAGATGAAAACTAAAAACATACAATCTCCACCGTACATAAAATTCAATGGCTGAGATTAGATACATGCTAATTATTTTCTCTCTCCTCTCTCTTCTCTTTCCTACCTTCTCGAATCCCCCAGCTTCAATTTCTCCCATTTATCATTTTCTCTCTCCTCCAATTCCCCCAAAAAAACCCTAGATCTCTCCATCGCTCCGCCGTTCACGGCGCTCTTCTTTCTCTCTCCTTCGTCGACTCCTTCACCGGATCGCTTAAATTGTGTTCTCCTTGTTTCAGATTGCTGAATTTGTAAGTTTTTGTTCTATCTTCAAACCCTAGATTTTAATTCATTTTCTAGGATTTTCGTTTTGATTTCATGAATAGAGCTCAGTTTTCGATCTCGAATCGTTCGATAAGAGTAATTCGCTGCTTAAGTTTTTCTTTTTTTTTTTGCTCAGTTTCGTGTCTGAATTTCGAATTAGCTGAGAGGAGTGAACAGGAGAGGAGGGAGCGAGTGGACTCGGCCGAATTGGTTGAATCGGTGGCTGATTCGAAGGATGACGGTGGTTGTGGAGGAGGGGTGAAGGAGAACAGTGACGTACAGAGCAGTGTTTAATTAATGGATGCTCCTTCTGCGAGAGCTCGCGCTAATTATGATTATCTCATCAAACTTCTTTTAATCGGCAATAGTGGTAATGTATTTATTATATGATTGAATATGCGTTTTTTTTAGATCTTTGATTGTTTCTCAGTTTGTAATCAAATTGATTGATTTGTGATATTTGTGGCATTGTGTTTGTTGTGTTAATGCACGGCATTGCTGGTTTGTCGATCTCATTTCGCTTTTGAGGCCAAGGAAGTTTGGTTTACGGTCTAGGAAATGGATTAATCATGGGCGTAGTGTGTTATCATCTGATGATTTTTAGCATTTGAGTGTGTTGAAGTGCAGGATGTGGTCTACTGGTCTGATTGGTTGTTGTTCTGTAATGTATTGTTAATTTGTTGATCTCATCTTGCTTTTGAATCCGAGGAAGCTGCTGGTGTAATGATGAAAAATGGATTAATCTTAGGATTAGACATATTATCATATGATGATTGATAGCATATTGAGTTTGCGAGGTTGTATGTGGTTTTTGCTGCATTGCTGGCTTGTTGATCTTCTTTCCCTCCCTTACATAGCGGGGAACCTTGATTTTTCGGCAATATAATAGCATTGGCACATGGATTATTCATGGATATAATGATGTTATCATATGATAATTAAGTATGTTAGTGATTTACTATGTTGGATGTATATCCTCGTAATACTTGGGGGTTTTTTTTTTGACACAAAGCAAAGCTTAGCATTTATAATTTTGTTATAGTGACTCTTAATTTTGTGCAATAATATGAGTTATTAGCTTTATTGTTTTTGTGTGCTGAAAGTCTATTAGCTCAATTGGTCGAGCATTGTGCACTTGCATTGTGCACATGATGTGGGTTCGAATCCTACGTAGGCTTATATGGTGTGATCTTTTTAAAATGTAGTCAAAATTAATATATTAACCTAACCTATGTGTAAATGTTAAATTAATATATTGTGCACTTGCATTTTGGAAAGTACGATTTCAATTTTCTTTTCCTGTATGTTCTTGAATGTGTATTATTAGAGCATATACCGGAGAAAAAGCCTACTCATTTTCCAGAATTGATATTTTTAAACTCATTCAGTCTGTTGCATCTAACAGATAAGTGTTCAAGCTTTTAATGATGAAGATCCTCAAGGGCGTAGGATTTACTATTTTATGCAAGTAATTGGTTATTAAATCATGAATGACTGAAAAACAAAGGGAAATTATTTTGAATAAAATATTCCTTTTGAAATATATGCTTTATTTGGATTTAGTAGTGAGTACATTGTAAGTTTAATTTACACAATAATAGCTACTCTTATTTCATTCGCTCTTCATTTATGGTTTATATTGTCAGGCTTATTTATTCATCGCCGGAGGGCTGAAATAATGGATCCTCAAAGGAAGGTCGTTGGAATCGGATAGCTTATGGTTCTTGGAAGAATCACAATTTGGCTATTACAAAATTATCTGATAACAAGCA